CATTCATGTGAGCCTACGACTACAACAGTTAAAACAACATGGGTTCACAAAGTATTGAGATCCAGCATATTATTCAGGACACAAGGATGTTCTGGCATATACTGTATATACTACGCAGTCTACTACTGCTGTGGCCTTTATTTCACTTTTTTTGGTCATACTAACTTTTTATGACATAATATACAATACTATGACCATTTTAATGATTTTTTTCGACATATCCTATGACTTTCACCTTATTTTTGGACATACTTTACTATGACTTCATTCATTAATTTTCGACATTCTATCCTATGACTTTTTCATGCCTTTTTTTGGCATACTACGCTGACTTTTTTAAAAACTTTGTTTCGACATTCTATACTTTGACTTTTAATAACATTTGTCAACATCCTACACTATGACTCTTATTAAAACATGCTACACTATGACTTTTTTTCGCGATACTACATAATATGCTATAACTTTTTAGGACTTTTTTCGACATACTATACTATGACTTTTTGGTGACGTATTTGACTTTTTCATGACATACTATAGTATTGACTTCGACATTCTTCAACTTTCTTTGACTTTTTTGAGACTTTTTATGACATACTACTGTGACTTCTTGGGAAGAGTTTCAAGATACTATAATATGACTTTTTTTGCCAAACTACACTGTGACTTATATGATTTTTGTCGACATATTATACAATGACTTTTTCATGGCACACGCAAGTATGACTTTTTTTCCACATACTTTGTTACTTTTTTACCATGATTTTTTTATGACTTTTTTTTGGCATACTATACTATGACTCTTTCATGACTATATTTAACATACTATATTAAGAGTTTTTTATGATATTTTTAACATGATTCTATGACTTTTTTGGTGACAATTTCAACATACTAGGCGATGCAATCGTGCTGTTGACTCCAAAAGTTTGGTTGTAACGTGATCTAGCGTCCAGCAGGTCTGCCCGCAGTAGACTACCACAGACTGTGGCACGATCGGGTGTAAGCCCCGCGGAAGAGCATGCCCTGCTAGAATGCCCTGAGGGTCAAAACTAAACAATTTTAGAAAACACAATGACATTTCACAGAACCTGTGCTTTGTGAAATGTTGTTTTTTGTTGTAAAATGTCATTGTATTTTGACTCTCAGGGCCACCATACTTGTTCACTTGTTTATATAATTCAATATTCACTAATATTGAAAGTGTCACGTGCACATGTCCAAATGGCACCAAAGTCGACATTCTTGTCATATCCAAAAGACGTCCCCACAGACAGACAGACAGACAGTGAGACAGAGAATCATCTCTTGATAGTTAGTGTTAGATGCTGGTATTTGAGCAAATTCTTAGCAATTCTTAGCATAGAGTATGGTGACAAATTAAATCTGTATTTTCCTAAGTGAATTACCTTCAACATTTAAAATGACATGCATTCACCTGGATGAGGAAAACACTTTGTTGAGTGAGGGTAGTGTGCCTTGCTGAGTTGGCATTTTACCAACCACAACCAAGAAGAAGAGGAACATCTGTCAGATTCTTTTCTTAATATAAGCCTTTTCATGTTGTTCATATCTTCCTTTATTAAAGCTGAGTCAGTCTTGTGTACTGGAGTTGATCAATGCCTCATGAGTAATTCTGACTCCCAGGCGAGTAGCCCGATGATTTAGAGGCTCTTGTCGAGCTGTTCTACCACAGCTTGTTTCTTATGCTGACGATGAAGTTTGTATGTGAGCCTTCGTGCCTGTGTTGATACAGAGAGCTGAGGGATGGAAATGCAGAGAGTTCTTGAAGGTCACAGGCTAAGATTTTTGTCTAAGAGTAGGGATACCTCGCTAACAAAGTTTTGTGGACGAAGTGGAATACTGGAAGAGCCACAGTAATACTTTACAAAATAAAAATTTCCGTTGTACTGAGGAAAAATTCCCCTCCTCCATCCTTTAGAGATTTCCTGCAAGTTCCCTGCAGAGTACTCACAGACGGTTTGGAAGAACATGAAACAATGGTCATGGCATGTGGCCGTAAAGTTACAAATAAATCTGCACGTCTCCACAGTTTGAAATCTGTTCAAGTGCTGAGCTTTTGGAAAACGGATAATAGTTCGACTATGTAAGTAATAAACAATGAAGTGACTATTCTCCCAAAGAGAAGCCTCACCACATTATGATGTGTTTCTATTTTTAAGCATCTCTTAATAACTCCCACATGCATCACAATAACTTCACAGCAATAATGGGGAGTCATTGGAATAAATCACTTGGGAAAAGATGTTGGTGACCGTTTATTGTGCAACATTTAGTTGAATCTCACCATTTAGTATTCCACAGTGTTTAGAGTTGTGTTTTTGCTGACTTGCAGTGTGAGTGTGACAATGATAGGTTGTCACCTCAGTGGAATGTCAAGCTGTGACAAGAGACAGAGAAGGGATCCAGACACTGAAATGATTGCAGTGGTACATCAGTATGTCTTCAGTTTGCGGTTAGTTATGACATAACGATGCACGTGATCCCATTGGAGAAGGGAATGGAGAGAGGAAAAGGAGATGACAAAGATCGATGTCTGTTCTCTTTGCAGACAGGTCATGGTTACTGTCAGAGTGACACGTGTTTCCTTACAAGAGAAGGGATTCTGTTTAAAAATGAGTGTTAGTATTATCATTTAATTTGATTTCAAAGATGTATTGGCAACATGCATGAAAACTTTGCAGCATGACCGTGGTTCATAACCACTGGAAAATTGGAAAAGAATACAGTGGAAAAGCCACCTCCCCCACACAGCCCTTTCATAGTACTAGATATGTAACAGATCCTGAACACAAGCGCTGACCTTGATTGGGGTAGATTACACCAATTAATTTATCATATTTGGTTTTAAAATAATTAACAATACATATAAGCTATGTGGCATGTGTAGTCTCTTTAGGGATGACTGCATTAGGTTCTAGTTAAAGCATGAAATGTGCACGGTTAAAGTCCCCATTGAATCATTGGTGCGGCGGTTTCTCCTGTGTGACTATTTACTCAAAAGGTGGAGTGAAAACGATTCGTGGGATCACAGGAAAATAAAAATGGTTCCATTAAAAGTACAAGGACATGGACTTTTACAGATGTGAATCAACAATACAGGCCAGTTTGAAGGTTCTGGTTTGAAGGCCCAGGAAATGCGGTTGTTTTTGTGCTGAGTGAGCGATGTGTCAGCTCATGGTTTTCCATGTTGGTTGAGGAGTGGGGGCTGCACAGGCCACCCTTACTGTAGGTTTTCCATCGTGGTGAGTCCTCAGACGTACACGGCATCCAAGGAGTCTGTCGTCTCTGTTTATGGAGACGATGAGACACAGTCCTCTGTTTTACCACAAGAAGGTTAATTGAGAAAGCAGGCTTGAGCCGGTTTTAAGATGTAATTGCTATAAAATAAGTGTTGACCAATATCTGGGAAGACAGAAGATCAATATAATGTGCATTTACTGTCCCATCCATCTTTAGTAAAAACACAGCTGACAAGAGTGACAGTCGCAATGATGAATGTCTTCCTTTGTCCCATCCAAAGCCTCTTTGTTATGGGGAAGAAAGCGTTTTACCTTTTGACTCATGTGTAGCAGTGTTTGTAGATTTAATGTAGGACAAGTGTTTTAGCTACCATCACATAAGCATCCATCTTTACTTTGGCAGCACATAATGTTAACATGGTGAGTTAGTTTTTATGCGGAGCGAGGGCGTTTAAATACACATACGCATGGTTTGCTCTGTTTATAAATGGTCTCTTCAGACAATCTCAGATTGTCTCTGAAGTTGTCAGTCACAGGAATTTATACGAAATTGATTTCAAATGCTTTCTAAACTTTCTAAAACCTGCTCTGTTCAAGCCTGGTCACAAAATATGACATTAATGGAGCTTGGTTCATTGCAGTGTAAAGTCACATTTGCTTAATTTTCCAGCTGTCTGTGGAAATCCCATTGACACACAGTAAAATAAAAGGTGGTTTCTGCTGTCAGTGGAGGGGACTGCTGGATGCATTAGTTTTACAAGCCTGTCACATTTCATTTGTCATTCCCTGGTGTTCTGACTCTATGCGCCAACACCAGGCCTGATGGTGCTTAAGACAACATGCTTTTATGCGACCAGTTCTGTCAACATGGTGTTTGTGACAGGAGACACACTTAATGTAGTTTTTCACAATGGCATGTTAATTGTTACTCTACTGTACAAAAATAATTTAGTTCTGTTTCTTTTTTGTTTCATTGCGAATTAAAAGAACAAATGAAGGTGTTGCTCAATAGAACTTAAAACCACATTTGCTAAAAGCTGTGGTTACCGCATGGTGGAGGCATGCACTGTAAGCTCTATGCTTTCCATAATATTCACATTACTCTAAACCTTTTGCCCTGACATTTTTTTTAATGTCTTAAAAATTGAAGTACTCCAATTAAAATTCATACAGATAATTTATATACAATTATTTTTTTATATTTTACATTACAACACTTTCCAGTTTGCCTGTCAAAGTTGAAAGTATATCCTTCTTTTAATCAACCAAAGAATAATATACAATATAGCTTATTATGGGTTTATATTCTATAAGCTTTCCTCTGGCATGCTTCGATATATTGAAGGACATGTAGGCTTTAGGGGGATTAACCAAAACAAGATGAGCATTAAAATGATGCAATGAGGAGATTACCTTCCTGCATTTGACTGTGCATGTCGAATACTTCATAGAAAAGCAAGTGGCTCTGCATGCTAAGTGCTAATATTAACAGCTAATAAAGCAGTTTCCCCACAGTGACAATTAAGTGCACGGATCACAATAGTAGTGGCTCATAGTCTGTCACCACAGGGTGCTAAACCTTTATAGAAAATGGAAAGTCTTAAGTCTTAAGTCATGAAAATGAATATGAACATGAATACAATTTTATGAATGTGTATGACTATCGTTATTAAAGTACTGCCTAACTATACTAAGTATTTTTCTTTATACCAATAGATGCCAAAAAAGAGAAAAACACAAGCTGTACATATTTTATTGCAATGTAATAAGGTTTTAATACATTATATTACAAATATCTTTTATGTACAAACGCAATGTGTTGGATCTATTGACATCAACAAACCACTCAATTTATACAGTAAATACAGTGCTTGATTCATACAAGCAAATTCGTGGATTCCTGTTCAAGCAATTCAAGATTTCAAAACAAGTTTTGTTGAGAAAAAAAAAGCAGGACTTTGAGTAGAGTGTAGCTCCTCAAATGTTGGTGGTAAGTTGATTTTGGTCTTAGATCTATTATATGTTGAATAAGCAGACTATTTATAACTTCAGGTATTGCTATCAGTTGTGTTTTTCTGTTAGAAAAGAACATGCCACTGTTTTTCAATAGTATATTTTGTTGTAATTAATAAAACTGGCCAGAATATCAACCCTGTAATACAAGTCAATAAATGTTACTGTTAAATTACACATTTGGAAAATGTACTTAGAATGAAACTAAAAGTCACCGGATACGTTTCCTGTGTCAACCTCATTTGCTTGTTATTGCAAAAACAACTTTACATACGTACTAAATATATATTGTAGGCTTTATTCTCTAATGTCAAATTAGGTTCTCACTCAGGTCAAATGAGAGCACTGTCAACTAAACAGGTATTTGTTTGATCAAAGACAGTGTATTTAAAAGAACTCCTGAGCAATCAGAACATGTCTTCACTGAATCATAATGTAAAAGGGAAAAAGGTACAGACAGCTGTATAACGGTGCGCAAAGTGCAGGAGTTACCGGTATATCAGCTCGTTTTGATATTGCACTTTTAACATCCTCTGTCTCTCTGTCATCTGGCTTGGTGTGGTGCCACTTAAAGAAGAAGAAAAAGACTACAGATTGCATGAGTTTTAGGACAAGGTCAAGGTTTGTGTTTAGTTAGAGTTACAGCATGTGTTCCTTGGATGCTTAGTGGAAGGTGTTTGGGTTTGGACGGATCATCATGACCACTTTCTTAAGCGAATAGGCTCCTCCTCTGAACTCAGCCCAGTAGACTCCATCTTGGTAGCGGCTGCGGTAGTGTCCTCCTCTGTACCAAACTCCATTCAAATTTGAGTGGGCACAAGAGTTGTACCACCAGCCTCCCTTCTGGTAGTGGGCACAATTGCCTAGAAACATTGAAAAAAATAAGCAAATCTGTCAGGCTACATGCATAAACATATTATTGGTTTTAAGCTGCCAGTTTGTCTAGTTTAATACTTTCTAGCATTATGCTTTTTTTCTTTTACCTGTATATGCATCATGGTCTCTGTCCAGTGTTGTGAACTGTTTCCCATTGTGCCAGGTGAGGGAGTCTCCAGCATTGCCATGATAACGGCCCACCCTTAGCTTGTAGAAGTCGGCCTCGGGCTCCACTCTGAAGCTGGCGTACTCTGCAAACACCTTCCTGCCAGACCAGTCCTCCAGCGTGACCAGTAATTTGTAGTTTGCCTGGTTAGTCAGCCAGTAGATGTTCTCCAGACCCAGCCAGTACTCACCATCAATATTGCCAAAACCTTGCTGTGAAGGTCAGTGATAAGAAAATCAGATTAGGAAATCATTTCTACGCACTCTTAGAAAAGCTATGAACAGGAGCCATGGTGGGGTGTGTGTGTGTGTGTGTGTGTGTTGCATGTCATAGCCCTCTCTCTCTTTCCCCCATTTCTACACTGACATCTCTCAAATAAAGTTATTTATCGTCAAGGAGCAATATTATAATTGGACCCTCTGAGTCAAGTTTAAAGCTAGCATGGGGCGTCCAGTTCTCCACTATTATTTTGTTATTGAAATCCCAGCAGGACAAGTGTATACAGTTAGGAAACCAACATACTGGATGCTGTCTTACTGCTTTGTTTTGGCTCCGATCATACTGTAAGTTGGTTTGTGGTATCCCCTACCCTGCACATGCTTTGAATCAAGGAATCACCCCTTCAGATGAGTGCACAAATGCAATTTCAGATCTCCTGTGGTTTAAAGGGTTTTTGTGAAAGTCTTGGATAGATCACAATTGTTGCCTTTAGCTGAGATTCAACCGGGACCCATGTGGATGATTGGCCCGCAAACAGTGAACTGCTTCTCCCTGTGTGAGGGGTTTCCCTTTCAAAAGTTAAAGAAGTTCCCCTGAATAAAAATGTAACTACTCCACGGACCTGATTATCACGTACCCTGTGATGCAATATTCAGAAAATAAGGGTTCATTTTCCAGAACATCAGTAATGCTGACACAATTAATGTGCAGTCAAGTCCAATATTCCCACATTTCTATTTGACTGTGAACACATTCATGAAGACCAACTGATGTTGCAGGAGATAATGACTCACGGCTTTGGCAGTAACCGAGGCTGTTACTACATCAGACACTTTGAGAGCTTAACAATTACCCATTCATTACTGGTTCACATCTGGTTAGCGGCAAAACACCTAACCTAAGCCACCTGCTTTCCCTCAAACTATGAGGTCCTTGATTTAGTGTGAAGTTGTCACACCTTGTATGTCTCCCAGTTCCTGAAAAAGTTGACAGAGCCGTCCATCCTCCTCTGTATCACGGTCCAGCCACCTGGGTCGTGTCTCTGGTCACACCACACCTGCATAAGGCGGTTGGCATTATCTGGCTTCACCAGGTACATGCTGCTGGAAGTGTGGCCATCTTCCAGAGCCTGCAGACAATCCTTAAATGGTCCTAAAAAAGAAAGATGACAACAATACATTTACAGCATGTAAAATCCAGTCAGTTAAAACAATATCTCAAAAGGTGAGAAAGGGAAACGAAGAGTTGTTATACTCTGTCACAGGGAATCCCATTTTTTCAGCAGAGGCTCTCACTTTAACAGAGGAATTGACTTTGGCTGTTCCTCTCACAAGGGAAATGGCTGCCGGCTGTGCAGCCAAAAGAAACACTGGCATGAGGGCAGAAGGATTCCTGACTACTGAATGATGAAACACAGGCAAAACTTTCGATCATCTGGGGTGCTTTACACTGCAGGATTAGTATTATTCTAGTTTCTTTCACTTAGGTTTTTGTACTTTATGATATATGTACACACACATCATTTTAGTTGGAGGCGTGCATATTAAGGGACTCACATCATGTTTAGAAGAAAGGACTTCTGGGACTAAATTAAATTATGGACAGCTTGTAAACCTTTGTCAGCCACTCAGTAAGTGTGCGGAAGTTTTTTCTAATATGACAAAAGTTGTGTGACGTAACAGTGAAGCATCTAAAACGTATTATGAAGATGCATTTCTTATCTACAGCTGGAAAAAAAAACTGTGAATCAAAGAAGACTAAAGTTGACAATAATTAAGCAGCATCAGACATGCTATCTTCTGCAGAAAGATAATTCATTCTGCAAATGTTTCGGAGATTTTGTGCAAGGTTAACATTGTTTTATTGGATTTTATGGTGCAAATCAGTAAAACCGGGTTTGCCTGTGTGCCATTATGATTTTACCCCAAATTTCAAACCTAGTAGATATGGAAAAAAACTAATGGGCCCACTGGCTCCCCGGCTTCAATTGACTGTGAAAGCGTTTAAGGTCCCAAGATTTCACACTTGTGTGGTTTGCCAACTGGCCCGGATTACAAAGTGTTCAGATAGAATGGAAAGCAATGAAAAGAGAATAAGGGGTCACGCAAAGGGGTAGAAGTGAGGGAGGGGTTCAGTTTGCAAAAGATAGAAAAAGAGGAGGTATACAAAATAAGAAACAAAGCACCTCATTTACAATATGTCATGAGGTCCCACTCAGTTGAGAAGCCAAACATAGGAACGGTAAAAGTGTTCACATAATGTGAATAGCCAGAAGTTTGCCTCTCAGTAACTCTCAGTTATTTTTAATCGCTGTGGATGATATCTGTCTGTCGGCTCACTCTCTGCCATCCATTTACTCTCAGGAATGTCTGTTGAGCAGATACAAGCCAGAGACCTGCCCTGCCCTGCCCTTCTTTGTTCTGACTGATAAAGTCTGCTGCTCTGGTGGAACATATGACTGATTCTTGCCTGGTGCAACTGGAACAAATGACATCACTGACTCTCGGTATCTCTTTCTGTACGTACTTTACCCCCCCTCCCCCTTTTATTTTTTAACTTAGACTCCATCCCTCCATTTCTCTCTGTTGCTCTTTCAGTTCTCTCCCTTCCTTCCTCTCTATTCTTGCATTGTGTGCAGCTCTGTTCGTGTTATGGGTTTATGTAACTTTTTGTTGCATGGCTATGGGCAGGAAATTACGTGCCGCCTTTCAAACATTCTGTACAAAGGCTGCCGTTCACATGCAGCCGAGTGAAAATGGCAAGCAGTAGCACAAAAAGTCAATGGAAAACGCTCCCACTACTCATGTTGGGAATGGTTTGTTCCTTTTTTCCACCATTTTAAAACTGAAGTTTACTAATTAAATTCAAATGGGGAAAGGGAACGACAACAGACCACTCACTGCAACTGATAGGACAAAACACCCTTCACATCAATTTTAAAGCTTTATCATTCACTAACATGTGTTCAAGAGTCCCATGGGCTTGGATCCAGCAATCCATTTAGTCACATGTATTTACTCTGCTAATATGCTTTGTGTTTTTGTGTGGGTTGAATCGTGGCAATTACTTGATATGCATCTCAAAAGGCTGTAGACAACAGCATTTCTGTTCTCACTGAGAGCCCTTTGCCCTGGGAATGCGTGGGACGTATTTCAATTGGCATTGAATGGAAGAATGGGTACTTGGTGGTGGCTTGACATCAATGATTAAGAGGTTCACAACATAGTTAATTCAGACGCACAATCCGTTGTTTGTGATGGCAACTGTTTTGGTAAGAATGCATCAAAAATAGAACTTTGAAATGAATCTCCATTATCTAAAAGTTCATATTGGACTTTGTTAGACTTACCAGAGGGCTTGTCAGTGGTGGAGGGGCTGTGTGTGCCAGTGGGCATCGTTGGAAGAGGCAGTTGAGATTTTTGGTCACTCTGGATCTCGTTGCTGATTGGGTTGACAACTCGTGGAGGGACAGGTGGTTGGTAAGGCTTGTTGAGAGGTGGTGATGGTGGAGGTGGTTGAGACCGTGGCTGGGGGACCGGCACGGGACGAGGGGGAGGGCGACTCTGGCACTGCTGCTCCAACAGAACAATAAGAGTTGATTGGTTAGTGGCCAAAGAAGCCAAGTGCTGGTACTTGTGCTCGAGATCCTTGTATCGACTGGTGAGCTGTTGCATCTCAGAGGTTTGGTTCAGGATCTTGTTCTCCATCTGAGCCAATTCGAGGGCATTGTCTCTCTTCCTGATGATCTCGTGGAGCAGCTGCATGTACAGCTGTGTGACTCTGGAGTTCATGTTTCGGCTCTCCTTCCTCAGAAGCTTGACCTCATTGACAATACCTCCGTCCACCTCTACCAACTGCTGCAGGGTCTCGATCTGCCTCTTCTGTTTCTGTAGCTCCACATTTAGCAGCTCTAACTCCTGTTTGTTGACCCGATTCTCCAGCATGGCCTCCGGCTCCTTGGAGTTGACACAGATGGCTCCGGTCACTTTTTGCTGAGGCACAATGAAAGTGTAGGAGCACTTGTCCTGCGGCGGCTCAGCTGGAGCACGCTTGGTCCTTCCAGCATAGAAAAAGTCTCTCTCCAAATCATCCTCACTACTCTCAAATTCTTGGGTCTTGTCCCTGCCATGGCTGCTGTCTGACGGACTCCCATGAGTCTGCTGGGCAGCACAGGCTAGTCCATAAACAAGAAGGAGCCGCAGCAGGACCGTTGAAGGGGGCTCCATGTGTCCCAACTCACCAACGCCTGAGGAAAATGGGAAAGAAAATAGAGAACATTAATTGCATTGTTGTGAAAAAAAATGTCCTAAATGATTCACTTTTCTAGTTAGTAAGCAGAAGACTGTATGAGCACACCTATTCTGAAACATTTTCCTTACTATCAGAATCAACAGCCCTCAGGAGTGGGCTGCATGCTCATTTTGACAGGCCATCAATGGAGTCCTTCACACCTAGACAGACTGAGATCAGAAGGAGGCTGCCCATCAGGTTACACTAGTGTTATCCTCCATTACCTAGGAGCCCGGTGCATACACATCTATACCTAGTCAGGGCTGGAGGTCATTACAGCTTTCAAAAATATGGGCTACTGAAAAAGATAAGATCTGAAAGAAAATCGCTCACTTGCCCCGCTGAGCGCCACAGCGGCCGCTGTGACTTTCCATGACAGGAAACGAAATATATTCACGTGTAATATTTAAATCAAGAATTCTATGGCTGCTACACTGCAAGTATCACTTCTGGGATGAGCAAACACTGCTGTATTTACGTGTTATTCATTGAATACATCTGGTCTTGATCCTTTGTATAAATCAGCGCTCCGCTTTCAAAAGCATGCAATACATGCATGTTTGAAAGTTACTAATCACTTCACAGCCCCTAAGTTAAATATTTCTTTTGTGTAATGATGTGCTGATCTCTTCAGTCAGTCGCATTGCTGTTAGCGGAGTGTGTTTAGCTTAGTCTGCTGTGCTGGCTCAGGTTTTCTTTGGGCGAGTGCCACTGCTTGTCCTCGACACGCACGAGAACACTCCTATCTGCTCCCCTCTGCAGGCCTGGACATCTTTGCTTATGGAAAATATGAGACACCACCAGATGATACTATTCATGGAACTGTTTTAAATATCGATTGTGTTGCATCAGTCCTGTCCAAAGCCGTTACCAAAAGAGGGAAATAAGTCACGCTCAGACAGTGAAAGCCAATTTGTTCTGTTTTAACAGAATACAAGCTTACTGTAACCATCTAGCATACATAAGTAGCATGACATAACATTATCCTTATCTGCCTCAGAATTTATTCCTGATAAATGGAGAACCAACATAACCCTGTCTAGATTAAAGTCTCTCTTAAATTCCGTGTCCTCTATAACTAAACCTTGTGGCACAACTCATACATTTCCTCAAAAGTTAATGAGAATGAGATACTTAACTGTTACCAGCATAAATCAAAGTGTAGACATTTTAATGAGAAAAAAAAAGAGCAGGCATATTTTGTAGATGATGGTGGTGTTATTAGGGGATGCCACTGAGTGCTGAGGAGAATGTAACTCCTGTGCAAGGATAACAAGGCCTTGAACTCCTGGGGCACCTTAATTGAAAGCTGCTGCATATTGGATTACAGAGGGGTCCTCTGTAACACCTCCCCAGAGTCAGAAAGGGCCCGTCTAATCAGAAAGCATTATCGAGAGGCCTGTATTGGCTTGGTTTTGAAGATCTGTCTCAGAATTGCTGGGCTCACAACTCCTCGCACATTTTGTTATAGCCTATCTTGGTGTGAAAGATAATCTACCATCTAATTGTAAGCACAAACTTGGGAAGAGAGCAGAAATGTTTTTGTCTTGTTAATCCGGGCATGCTGCCAGCACATTAGGTAGGAGACATGGAGAAGAGAAATGCAGCGCTGTCCAAGAACATGACCCTTGGCACATTCGACCCTTTCAGTTTTATCTGTCTAGAGTAGAATGTGAAAACATTTTTCCTTCCCGGGAAAAAAACCCCACTGTATGCTTCTTTAACTGGTCGGTCTTTGTGATGTTACGGTTTACCTGGCCAGAAATATGATCACAGTCAGTGCGGAAGAACGTACAGTCTGCTTCTCCTTTGGCATTTTGTTTGATTAAAACAGTTTTGTGTCAGCACAGTAGGAGGTCTTTAGTTGCACTAATGCTGCACACAAAGCCTGGCTGTATGACGTCACCTCAGCAAATGCTGATTGATTCAGTGTCATAAATATTTTTCACACCATGCAAAAGGATACTTATCATTGAAATGATCTTAGTGTCTTCAAGCCGTAAAGAAACCACCAATAATAGCTTACAAGTAAGCCAATACCACGATAAAGGAGCAGCCCAGAGTCGGTGCCTTGTAATGTGCTGATGACTGTATTTGGCCAGCAGCTCCTGTGGTTTCTCCCCCTGGACCATGTGCTCTGTCTCTGAGAAATGCAGAGTGATTTGCCCCTGCTGCGGAGGAGTCCCATGTTGGACGTCGTTAGCCCAGAATCTCCTGCTCTCGGCTTCACTACACTTCAAAGCTGAGGGGAAAATGTTTGCAGCTTGTGATGAAATGTGTGTTTGTGTGCGAGCGAATGCAGTATGTGCGTGTCGGCGAGGGTTTTTCCGATAAATGGTGTTTTCAAATAACAACACTTGCTGGGCTTAGTATCCCAGGGACCTGAGAGAGTCCCATCTGCCGCGACTGAGACAGCCTGTTATTAACCCATCCCCAGTCTGCCAGAGGGAACAACAGAAAGCCTCCTCTTCCTTCGTCGCTTTTAACAGCCCCCATGGCGCAATATTGTCCTTACATCAGTTCACTTTACAGGCTGCTATTGAGCAGCAAATAGCTGCAAAGATTAACCAGTGTCATATATGTCTACTCTGCCCAGGCCCTGAAGATGAACGAGTGGAGTGTGCAGTGAATAACAACTATCATCGTAATTTGATTGGCAGCTCCTCTTGGGTGATTTCTTCAAGTCTGCTTCACACCAAAATGTTTTGGTTTTACTGTCTTCAGGTGGTTAAGTCTGTGTTTACACGACTCCTCCTTCTGGATTTTACTCGGTGTTAAATCAAGTGTGATAGGCGAGTGCAGCGGGTAGGTCAATGTGTCTCTGACCAGCGCTGTGCGCCAGCCTTTTTGGTCATGCTCAGCACATATTAATTAGAAGGTGGGCAGCCTCGTTCAGACTGGCTGATGTCTCTCACCCCAGCCCCTCTCATTTCAGTGTGAGCATGGCATTCCTCACATTCTTTGTCACCTCATTAGAGTGAGCTGCCATACACACATGGTGGCAGACGGCTAGACCCTCTCGACGCAGGACCACTACTCCCCTTATCGCCTCCGTAGCTACAAGACGCACTGTATCTACTGACGCAAGTCATTCCCAGTGTCCTGCTTTCTGTGTGAATGCCTCATAATCACATCATCATCATCCACAACAGGGGATCACAACACGACTACACAGCACCTAATTTGTCATTAGCTGAAAAGGAGCGGACACTTTGGAGAGGGCGGCTTTGTGTTGCATGTTCAAATTAGCACCAACTCCGCTGAGAACTGGCAGTCTCCTGCATGACACCCAATATGTGTTGGATCAGAGTCAAATTCAATTTGCTCATGGTAATCTGCACTATTACATTACCTTGAGGGTGACCTCATTCTTTCCTCAAGCATGTAATGCTTGTTAGCCTGAAACATGACATTTTGAACATGATGAACCTCAACTACCTGCTCAGTTTGATGGCATAGGACAATATTTGTTTTGACTCTCCATGGAGCAGGAGTGGTTTGAGTTTTTGTTCAAATGTAGGTTTCGTTCTGGTCTCATGCTGCTTGGTAAGTTCTTCTATACCTCACTTGTGATCTGAGTCAGACGGGGGAGGCACAGGGGGTCTCGGGAATTGTTTCGATAAGTTCCAGCATTCTACCTCAAAGCCCCCTTATCCAAACACTACTCTGGCAACAGAAACAAAGACGGGATTCAACCGCCTGCTTCTGTGTCCTCTTGAGCCCAGAGGGACATCCTGAAGCTGCAGACGGCTTGACATACCGGTAGTCAGGTTGTCTGTTTTTCTTTCTCTTTTAGAAATGAATGGTTCTATTTAGATATTAGAAAATAAACCTGTCAGCATGTATCATACAAGGCTCTTGCTGTATATCATCTTCTACACACCCTCTTCAATACCCATGCCTTTATTTGACCCCTTTAGGGTCCAGTGTTTTGACAAGCTGAGTGTTTTATCAGTAGTGAAGAAGCACTTAGCCCAGAGAGCCCGCTCTCCAGCATCCCCCTGCGCTGAATTAACCCTCCCCAACCAAGTCTATCAGAGTCATCTGTTCAGTTAGTCATCAGCAAGTACAATTACCTTTTAGCACCAAACTGTGAGTCAGATAACAGATGCTGCATGAAGACTGCTCCATTCAAGATCAAAGAAAATCATTATGTAAAGCAAAGCAGTGTGAGAGTCAAAGTCTGACTTCAATCAATTTAACTTCAGGACAAAATAATTGCTTCACCATTGTGTGACAAATGTCACTGGGCTGAATGATTCTGAGCTCACTGACAACTTCTGTCGAGCCAAGAAAGGTCATCATTTGCTCTGAGAGATTATGTGTTACAGACAATTTATCAATGCAATGAATTAGTTATGCTTGATATAATGTAATATAACTGTGTGTTGTCCCTGTTGAATAAATCAAAAATCAATAAATAAGATGAATGTATAAATAAGTGAAAGGTTACTCAATGCTTACGAGATAGATAACTGTAGAGTATTGATGAGGCTCCCTCAGATGCCTTGCCCTCCTGGCAGAGCTGATTGAAGTTTCTCCCGGTAGAAAGTCATCCCAAGTGAGAAAGCTGCAGCCCTGCGTCCTCCTCTCCCCCCTTCTGCACTTTGCCTGTATAGTTACTCTGTGTCACCTCTGTCCATTCCAGCCGTGGAGGGGTGGTGGTGGTGGTGTTTTAAAGCCTGTTATTAAAAGTCCGTCATTAGCCCAACAGCAGCTTGACTTGAGCAAACGTTGAGTAGATTGTTTCAAGATCCACTGGAAAAAAAAGTTGGAGCACTTTCAGAAGACAAGTGGTAACTTAAGTTGGATGGTGGAGATAGTTTCCTGATAAATGGTGCGAGTCCAGGGCAGCATGTGTACTGCCTGTGGCCCGTTAGGAGAAGACTGTCACTTTTCTGTGGGCTGAATCCATCACTTCTGCCTCACAGCTCTAAGAGGCTGTCTCTCTCAACTGCACCTCTCTCCCTCTCTCTCTCTCTCTCTCTCTCTCTCTCTCTCTCTCTC